TAATTGTGCATCATGATAACTATGTAATAAATACTATGTAACGAAGATGAATTAAATTAGGAATCCTGTCTGGTCTACTTATAACATAAAGGAATAGTTGGACTACCTTAACATAAAGGAATAGGTAGATTACCAATAATATACACAGGTGGGTTACATATAGCATACAGGCATAACTATGATATACATATACAGGTGACCTGCCTATACCATACATTATTACCAGATACATAAAAACATAAAAGATATAGGAAGACTACCTATAACATACAGGTATATGAAGACTACCTATAACATACAGTTATAGGAAGACTACCTATAATATACAGGTATAGGTAGACTACCTATAACATACAGGTATAGGAAGACTACCTATAACATACAGGTATATGAAGACTACCTATAACATACAGGTATAGGTAGACTACCTATAACATACAGGTATATGAAGACTACCTATAATATACAGGTATAGGAAGACTACCTATAATATACAGGTATAGGAAGACTACCTATAATATACAGGTATAGGAACACTACCTATAATATACAGGTATAGGTAGACTACCTATAATATACAGGTATAGGAAGACTACCTATAATATACAGGTATAGGTAGACTACCTATAATATACAGGTATAGGTAGCCTACCTATAATATACAGGTATAGGAACACTACCTATAATATACAGGTATAGGTAGACTACCTATAATATACAGGTATAGGTAGACTACCTATAATATACAGGTATAGGTAGACTACCTATAATATACAGGTATAGGTAGACTACCTATAAGATACAGGTATAGGTAGACTACCTATAACATACAGGTATAGGTAGACTACCTATAACATACAGGTATAGGTAGACTACCTATAACATACAGGTATAGGTAGACTACCTATAACATACAGGTATAAGAACACTACCTATAACATACAGGTATAGGTAGACTACCTATAACATACAGGTATAGGTAGACTACCTATAATATACAGGTATAGGTAGACTACCTATAATATACAGGTATAGGAAGACTACCTATAATATACAGGTATAGGTAGACTACCTATAATATACAGGTATAGGTAGACTACCTATAATATACAGGTATAGGAACACTACCTATAATATACAGGTATAGGAACACTACCTATAACATACAGGTATAGGAAGACTACCTATAATATACAGGTATAGGTAGACTACCTATAATATACAGGTATAGGTAGACTACCTATAATATAAAGGTATAGGAAGACTACCTATAACATACAGGTATAGGAACACTACCTATAATATACAGGTATAGGAACACTACCTATAACATACAGGTATAGGAAGACTACCTATAATATACAGGTATAGGTAGACTACCTATAATATACAGGTATAGGTAGACTACCTATAATATAAAGGTATAGGAAGACTACCTATAACATACAGGTATAGGAACACTACCTATAATATACAGGTATAGGAAGACTAGCTATAATATACAGGTATAGGTAGACTACCTATAATATACAGGTATAGGTAGACTACCTATAATATACAGGTATAGGAAGACTAGCTATAATATACAGATATAGGAAGACTACCTATAATATACAGGTATAGGTAGACTACCTATAATAACAGGTATAGGAACACTACCTATAACATACAGGTATAGGAACACTACCTATAACATACAGGTATAGGAACACTACCTTTAATATACAGGTATAGGAACACTACCTATAACATACAGGTATAGGAAGACTACCTATAATATACAGGTATAGGTAGACTACCTATAATATACAGGTATAGGTAGACTACCTATAATATACAGGTATAGGTAGACTACCTATAACATACAGGTATAGGAAGACTACCTATAACATACAGGTATAGGTAGACTACCTATAATATACAGGTAAAGGAAGACTACCTATAATATACAGGTAAAGGAAGACTACCTATAACATACAGGTATAGGTAGACTACCTATAATATACAGGTAAAGGAAGACTACCTATAATATATATAGTATTGCAGGAATACCTATAAAATACAGGTTTAGATGTGTATGATCAGTCCATGTCAAATGAGTCATATTATTTCATTTAATAAAAGGATACAAAAATAATAAAAAAACATCCTCAACTTATGTTTTTGTACAAATGCAGTCCACATACCATATGAAAATTTATCCTCAAGTCTGACATACAGCTACCAGACACAACACCGCTGTTGTAAATTTACATCAGCCAGTGGTTATTTAATTAATCTCTTAAAAGATTCTAAAGAAACATTTTGTATTGTTGATATCAAAAAACTGAGAGATAATATTGAGTTCTCAACTTCCTGGTCTTCTAAATCAAGATATAAATCATATAAAAATCTTCTTGATGTGTTCATAGATAAAAAGATTTCCATTTTATAGGATTTGTTAAACATCAAAATTATACTTTTGGAATACAATGGTGAGATCATGCAGACACCATACAACAAAATCCTTCTGTTATTTTTGAGCAGCTATCAATGAAATCAACTTAATACACCTTATGACCAGATTGCAATCATTTGAAATATTAATTATAAAATCAAAAGAAACATGATTATCAACTCACTTAAATAAAAAAGGTTTTCTACAATTATTCTCATTTCTTCTAAGAATATGTATAGCTGATGTCACCACTGCAAGAATGATTAAAAATGGAAAGAAGAACCTATTTTCAGGAAGACGTACTTTTTATAATATCAATTTTGATTTATTGTCAACATCTTGAGAAATAATCTGTCTTTCTAATCAAATGAAACCAAAATTTCTCAATATTGGACAAGATTCTCTATTAACACAATTCTTGAATCTTGTATCTGAAAATTTCTATTTCATAATTTGAGCTGGTAAATAATTTTTAAAGCAATTTTTACAAATATTCAATTGGAAAAATACAACTATTTGAAAATTTCATGTTTTTACTAGCAATAAAAATTATGCCTCAAGACTGTAGAATTCAAAGTAGACTTGATACATAAAGGCCCATAACTCTTGGCTGGCCACATATATACACAAAGTTATGAACATCAAGGGACAAGATTTAGTATTCAGATCAAATCAACATTCTGTTGATAGAAATGATAATAAACCAGAGACAAATCTGAAGAATTAAGACCTTGTTTAAACAATAATAAAATAAGCAGTGTTATAAAGCCTAAAATTTCAACTGAATTATTACAATACATCAATAGTGATCTAATTTGTTTTTTTTTTTTTTTTTTTTTACATTCTAAACAAATTTTTACATTTCAAAATATTTGTTGATGCTAGAATAGATGATGTTGATTTAAAGCATATGTTTTAAAACATATTTCCTTCTATTTTTTATAATGTGTTTATTATTTGGATGGGGAATTCATGACATAGTTGTGTGTACACATGGGTGAAACAGTAGATTCTTTATTGAAGTATTTCTTGGATAGCGTTCCTTGGTATAACACATTCACTACAAAGGGTTTATAACCAATCAATCTAGTCTGTATAGGACAAAATAATCACATCTTGTGTTTTATTCTACTGGAGGAAAATAAGTTCATAAAATTCTTTAAATCCTGTGACACACATATAATTGTTGAATTAAAATAGGATTAAACAAAGATACCAAATATTTCACAATCAGTAGTTCTTTATAATGAAATATTTCATATGATTTTTCAAAATTTGTCCTACTGAAAACAAATTGTTTAAAAAATTAGGAACTTTAAATTTCCTCACAATCATTTTCTAGGTCTGTAAAACAAACTCATATCTGGAATTTTTTATATTTAAAAACAAAGCTTTATCATAATAAAACATTTGATTAATGAATTTAAATTCTACGTCCTTATTACATTTATTAGCCCACATAGATACATCACAGTGCATTTGAATGGATGAAACTGAAATATGAATACGGAAAAAAACTGATGGGTTGGGCAATTGTATCCAGATAATTTTTCACACCTGATAGGAAACCATTCTTTTTTCTAATATTTTCAGTGTTATATGGAAAATGTTCCACTTTTAACCTTGTAAACTACTATTTGTTTTTATATCATTTCACATATTCATTTCTAGGCCACCAAAGATGTCATTCCTTTTTCAGACAAAAAGGTGAACATTCGAGGATAGCCTGATATTCAGATATGCCTTTAATTATTTTGCAAATACCTTTTTTTGTTTTGCTTCAGTTTTAATTTATCCAACATAATAAAAGTTAAAAAAAAAGTGTTCTCTTTAACTCAATCCAGTCAGTAACAAAATTTGTAAAGCTTTTTATCAAGTGCTATCATCACTTCGCTTGTTTAAAATTTCAGCTACACCATTTTGTAAAATTCCAGAGATACCATTAGACCCATGAGAAAGTGTAATACAAGTGAATTTGAAATCTTGATCATGTAATAAGGTTTTACTGCTTGTTTAAGATATTTCAAGTTGTCCGACAAATTATAATTGTGCAAAATTAACAACAAAAAAATTTTAAAAAAAAAAAACCACAATAAAAAACTACTGTTTTTTTTATATTAGTAAATCTATGTATGTTTTGTCTTAATCAACAGATGGACAAATAAGGAGTGTTTTTATCTGTCAATGGCATTAAGAATGGACTGCATACACAAAAACTTTGTGATAAAAGATCAAATTCCATAGAAAATTTCAATAAAACACACACACAGTGTAAATTGGTCTACATAAGATGAATTTATTTCCTCAAGTTTAAAATAGCTTTTAAAAATGGTCTGGTTTGCAAGGAGCACAGACAGCAAATGGGAAGAGAAGTCTCAATCTTTACAACTGCTTTTAAAAAGGTCTTGAATTGTAGATATTTATCTTGTGGCGGCCATAGAATTCCTCAGTCTATGTACCTGACAAGGTGTCAGAAAATTGAAAAAGGACAAATTGTTTTTTGCCGTGGCTGAAAAAGATTCGGAGGTGGACTCTGGAGATAAAGCAAAGTATCAGTACTTACTGGACTCTCCGGCAGGCTGTTCCGTTTGGCTTTCCGTCATAGCTTGTGACAACGGATCGGGCACAGGAGGAACTGTTGGAGTAAACAAAGAGGTGTTGTCAGTCTCGAAGCTAAAACCATAGAATGACAGGGGGCCACAGAACAATCACACTATAGGCCAACTTTATCTCACGCTGTTGGTCTGCTTCTCAAACAATATACAAACATGATGTTTTTTTTAGGTAGAGTAAGGAAAAAGACAATCCAAGAAGTACCATATAACAGAAACACATGTATCACATGACAGTGAAGAAAGACTTCCACACAAATGTTTTTTCGAAAGCAATTTAACAACTTACTGTTTTTTCCCGTTTTTGTAGAGTTTGCCAATTAGAAGGTAATACTACCGACACTGGTAATATACCCTGTGCAATAATTGACCCCCGCTATCATAGCCCACTACAACCTGCTAAGCTTTAATATTCTCTGTAAAATGAAAGTAGCAGCTACACTGGGAGAGTCTGCTGGTGGAGCTGTCAGTGGTGGTGGGGCAGGTTTACAGGGATACTAAGGGCTATAACACAGGTGATTGATCCAGCCCCATCACATACTCCAGCTCATACTGCATGCTCAATAAAAATACAATCTTTCACCAATAACACACTGTTTACTTGCCAGACAACACAAACCCATCAACAGAATACTGTATACTGTTATTATTGGTGATTACTGGTAAATCAATCATGGGTATTCTCTCTTACAGAAAAAAATAAACAAAATATCAATAAGAATATCAGCAGATAACATCATTACATAACACACCGAGAAAATTCCAAATTAAAAATTCTCAAACAAAAATATTTGAGACAAAAATATCCAGAAATTAAAGAATTCATGATTGTAATTACCTAGGAGTGCTTTTCCCTGGAATAATGATTTAAAGCAAGAGAGACACCTCAGGGAAATGTCAACAATTTCAAAACAAGTCAGGTCAAGAGGATATGGAAACTATTCAAACTCAAAACAAGTGGTTTAGTTACAAACAAATCTAAAACAAAATAAACAAGAACAGAGGCTAGGAAGAGTCCCAAAGGGCTTGTAACAGATTTTAGACAAGATTGTAGAGGACCCTGAAACACAATTTAAAGGAAGAATCTCAAAGGATTTATGGAATCCTGAATTACAGTATAAAGGAAGAGTCCCAAAGGGTGTAGGGAATCCTGAATTACAGTATAAAGGAAGAGTCCCAAAGGGTTTAGGGAATCTTGAATTACAGTATAAAGGAAGAGTCCTAAAGGGTGTAGGGAATCCTGAATTACAGTATAAAGGAAGAGTCCTAAAGGGTGTAGGGAATCCTGAATTACAGTATAAAGGAAGAGTCCCAAAGGGTTTAGGGAATCCCGAATTACAGTATAAAGGAAGAGTCCCAAAGGGTTTAGGGAATCCTGAATTACAGTATAAAGGAAGAGTCCCAAAGGGTGTAGGGAATCCTGAATTACAGTATAAAGGAAGAGTCCCAAAGGGTGTAGGGAATCCTGAATTACAGTATAAAGGAAGAGTCCCAAAGGGTGTAGGGAATCCTGAATTACAGTATAAAGGAAGAGTCCCAAAGGGTGTAGGGAATCCTGAATTACAGTATAAAGGAAGAGTCCCAAAGGGTTTAGGGAATCCTGAATTACAGTATAAAGGAAGAGTCCCAAAGGGTTTAGGGAATCCCGAATTACAGTATAAAGGAAGAGTCCCAAAGGGTTTAGGGAATCCCGAATTACAGTATAAAGGAAGAGTCCCAAAGGGTTTAGGGAATCCTGAATTACAGTATAAAGGAAGAGTCCCAAAGGGTGTAGGGAATCCTGAATTACAGTATAAAGGAAGAGCCCCAAAGGGTGCAGGGAATCCTGAATTACAGCATGAAGGAAGAGTCCCAAAGGGTTTAGGGAATCCTGAATTACAGCATAAAGGAAGAGTCCCAAAGGGTGTAGGGAATCCTGAATTACAGTATAAAGGAAGAGTCCCGAAGTGTTTAGGGAATCCTGAATTACAGTATAAAGGAAGAGTCCCAAAGGGTTTAGGGAATCCTGAATTACAATTTAAACGAAGAGCCCCAAAGGGTGTAGGGAATCCTGAATTACAGTATAAAGGAAGAGACCCAAATGGTTTAGGGAATCCTGAATTACAGCATAAAGGAAGAGTCCCAAAGGGTGTAGGGAATCCTGAATTACAGCATGAAGGAAGAGTCCCAAAGGGTGTAGGGAATCCTGAATTACAGTATAAAGGAAGAGACCCAAAGGGTTTAGGGAATCCTGAATTACAGCATAAAGGAAGAGTCCCAAAGGGTGTAGGGAATCCTGAATTACAGCATGAAGGAAGAGTCCCAAAGGGTGTAAGGAATCCTGAATTACAGTATAAAGGAAGAGTCCCGAAGTGTTTAGGGAATCCTGAATTACAGTATAAAGGAAGAGTCCCAAAGGGTTTAGGGAATCCTGAATTACAATTTAAACGAAGAGCCCCAAAGGGTTTAGGGAATCCTGAATTACAGTATAAAGGAAGAGTCCCAAAGGGTGTAGGGAATCCTGAATTACAGTATAAAGGAAGAGTCCCAAAGGGTTTAGGGAATCCTGAATTACAGCATAAAGGAAGAGTCCCAAAGGGTGTAGGGAATCCTGAATTACAGCATAAAGGAATAGTCCCAAAGGGTTTAGGGAATCCTGAATTACAGTATAAAGGAAGAGTCCCAAAGGGTTTAGGGAATCCTGAATTACAGTATAAAGGAAGAGTCCCAAAGGGTTTAGGGAATCCTGAATTACAGTATAAAGGAAGAGTCCCAAAGTGTTTAGGGAATCCTGAATTACAGTATAAAGGAAGAGTCCTAAAGGGTTTAGGGAATCCTGAATTACAGTATAAAGGAAGAGTCCCAAAGTGTTTAGGGAATCCTGAATTACAGTATAAAGGAAGAGTCCCAAAGGGTGTAGGGAATCCCGAATTACAGTATAAAGGAAGAGTCCCAAAGGGTGTAGGGAATCCTGAATTACAGTATAAAGGAAGAGTCCCAAAGGGTGTAGGGAATCCTGAATTACAGTATAAAGGAAGAGTCCCAAAGGGTGTAGGGAATCCTGAATTACAGTATAAAGGAAGAGTCCCAAAGGGTGTAGGGAATCCTGAATTACAGTATAAAGGAAGAGACCCAAAGGGTGTAGGGAATCCTGAATTACAGTATAAAGGAAGAGTCCCAAAGGGTTTAGGGAATCCTGAATTACAGTATAAAGGAAGAGTCCCAAAGGGTGTAGGGAATCCTGAATTACAGTATAAAGGATGAGTTCCAAAGGGTGTAGGGAATCCTGAATTACAGTGTAAAGGATGAGTTCCAAAGGGCTTGCTAACAGACTTAAAACAAGTGTGTAAAAGACTCGGAATGAAGAGCACAGAGGAACCTGAATAACAATTAAAACCAAATGTGTAGTGAACCAGAACCATTCAAAACAAGTGTGTAGAGGACCAGATGTAACAATTTAAACGTGTGTAAAGCACTCAGAAAAAATAGGATCTGAAAAGGGCACATTTTCTTTAATTGTCCATTTTTTAACCATGTTAAGATTCTATTTTGTTGCCAATCATCACTATGGTCCATGTAAACTAACCCTTGATTGCTTATAACCTTTCCTAAAGAAGGAGAACTCCACAGATCTACCTTTATTTTGTCTATCGCTTGATGTCCTGCTTCTCTGCCCCCTGGGGGCTCAGACCAATGCTTTAAACAAATTGATTCTCTTTACCTAAAGATGCTCTACTCTAAATTTGGTCAAAATACTTTCATCTCAACAGAAGTCTAAACATTAAGATTTGGTTTTAACCACTAAAACATGGCCAGTAGTAAGCTAACAGAGCAAAAGAAACCATTTATTGGCATCTAAACGTGTTTAACCTATCATCATGTTATAACAGTTTAGGTTAAATTTAGATTAAATCTGTTGAGAGGTTCACAAGATATGACATTGATATAGAACAGACAATTACCACATAGTGGCATAAAAAGTTACAGGTTGGGTTTATTGGGATTAGCACTAGACTGATAAGTCTAAAACCAAAACTTCTCCTTAACTTTAAAAATGTACACTGAAGACTAAGTTTTAAAAAAATTACTTGATATGGAGCTGACTGACATCAAAAATTTTATATATAAAATTAAGAAATCTGCATTTGCCCTATTTTATGAAATTTTGAAGTAAAAACTCTGGTAGTTATTTCACAGACTTAATCTTAAGCTGACTAAATATTCCTAGAAAGGCTTGATCCCTTGAGAGTCTCAGAGCTGATGATTTGGTATTTGAAATGAGTACTGATGGTCATGTGACTTAATTAACATGACAAACCAATCATTTTTCAATTCCGTTTTTATCATTTTCCTTTTCTTTTTCAAAAGGTTCATTAAAACGATCACCGTTCAGTAGGACAATCATTTATCTAAAACTCTTTTAAAGCTTCTTTTTCGTTATCAAAATTTTTCTGTTCTAACTGAAATGTTTTAACAGATATTGACAATTTTAACATACCAGACTTCTGGAATGACACAGATGATCATCACTGGCCATCAAGCGGATTATACATTTCAATTTCAAGCGCTGTTAAAAGGTAATGCTTTTAGACTTGAGAAACAAACATTCAGGTGATGTTGATCTGTTTCAAAATGTTGTTTTCAATGACAATTACTGCTTTAATGTTGCAAACATTTAAAGATCAAACAATTTTTTTACCTGGTATGTAAAAAAGTTTAATATTGACAGAACACTGACAATTATTGTTAAGATGAAAGCTACTGATAAGTGGAATCACAGAAAAGTTTTACTGAAGTTTTCAAATGGAATTTCAATACAGAAAGTGTAAATGCATCAACAACAGAGACAGTGTTTAAGTGAAATGAAAAAAAAAAAAAAAAAGAAAAGTTCCTGATAAATGATAACAATCATAATTGCTATGATATATGGATATCCTGTACTGAGTTCATAACACCTCTGTCTGAAACTGTCCTAGGTGAGACACACCAG